TTTTTTTTTTTTTTTTTTTTTCAACGAAATACTATGTTCATGCAAGTATATCTATAGGAAGAACTTCCAGGAGTGGAGTCACTGGACTAAAGGTATATATTTTTTAATATTGACAGATATTTTTCATCCATAAGAATTGTATCAATTTACACCTCACCAGTGATGCATTCTCCACAGTCATGCTGTTGTCAAAGTTTCCGATATTTAACTATCTGAACGGTGGAAAATGGTATCTGAGAGGATTTTTTTTGGAAGAGAACCAGGAAAGCATATTAGCACACTGTAGAAAGGAAGTTTGAATATGCAGGGAGTCAGAGAGGAGGTAATTGCAGGAACAGAGTCCTTTACTAGGCTGGAGGAGCAGGATTCACTGCAGGAGTGATTCATGGAATGGGTGCTCTGTCACGAATGGGTGCCCATGGAATGGGAGATGCAAGGGTTGTGGGTATATTTTCACGGTGGCCTCAAGTGCAAGTCCCTTTTGATTGCTTCTGTTTTTCAGGCAAAATAAGAATCAAGGTCGTAAACTGAGCCAGGAGAGAGGAGAGAGTGTTGCATATTTTGGGAAAGAGATGTGAATTTCTTCTCTTAATGAGTGGGAGGGTAACCTGCCCAGGGAAACAAGGATCTTTGAAGCACTGAGGATTACAGCCTTCAATTTAAAGTGAATTTTGAAGGACAAAGGACAGTCCATGGATAAAGAAGATCCCTGCTTCAGGGAGATGTCAAGAAAATTAAAAGCAAAGCATCCATCTAGCATTCATTTAACAGATATTTACAGGGAATGGGCCATGCAGAGGCTCTGTTGCTGGGTGCTGGCTTGTCACTTAAAGCAAATCACAAGCATCCTCCAGTTGGTTAATTGTTCACACTGATCTGATTAAGGTAAGATTATTCACTCTGCAAACAAAAATACAAAAAAAAAAAAAAAAAAAAAAAAAAAAAAAAAAAAAACATAGGATGTCCATGGGATGGTTTTTCCTAAATTTGGGGAGGGGAGTTCTCAGTCTTGATAGTCTAAACAAACAGCTTCTCGGAAAAATGGGCCTGTATAATAAATTTGCAGACAATTTCAGGTGGTTGTAGAACCTCAAGTTGAGAATCTCTCTGTCAAATTAAGAGCCCTATTTTAGAGTGTATTGTTTTAGGATGTTTTGAAGGATTCAATTTGCACAAAGCTTTCTACTTTATGGTTGTGTACTGGACACCTTAATAAGGACTCAGAAATTGAAATCATTTTAGGTTTAAAAAAAAGTTGCAAAAGTAGCATAGAGTTCTCCTATATTCTTCACCAAGAATCCTCAAAGATTAACATCTTAACCATAGTACAATTATTAAAACTGTTCATACACTACTATCGTTAATAGACCTTATTCCGTTAGTTGTCCCGTTCGTGTCCTTTTTTCTGTTCTAGAATCCAGTTCAGGAATTCACATAGCTTTGTCAAGGACCGGGCTTTTTTTTTATTTTGGGGCAAATTAACGTCTGAGTCTGTCATAAGAGTCGCGATGTTATTAAGAACCAATGAAAAACACATGTAAAATGATTTCAGAAACTTCAAAGATAACTAAACAAACTTTTCTTACTACTCAGAATTGGGTATATGCAGTGTAGCTTTTCATTTAAAGTAAAACAAAGCCAATTGAAATGTATTATTGTCGTCGAGGTGTTTTGTCCCAAAGGAGGACCCGTAGCCTTTCCTTCAACCACCAGAGGAGGCTTTTCCTAATTGGGCAGCGTGTCTGCCCGACCGCAGGAAGGCCGCCTCATTGGTCCGCGCAGTCGGGACTCCGGCGGCTTTTCTCTTAGTGCTGAAGGCGCCGACCCACTTCTCTTCGTTCACCCGAGCGCTCCCTTCCTTCGAAGTCCCTGAAGCTGCCAGCCCGAAGGCGTCCAGACTGACCTAGGCCGGGTAACTGCACTGAGGTCAGTCGGGAAGAAGCGGCGGGCATGGAATACGTGTGGGAGGTGATGGAATGCCGGTGCTCGGTGATGTCTGTGATCCCCCTCGGCCCCCAGGCCTCTGCAACTTCTCTGCCTGCCTCCTCCTCTGGCCCCACCTCCACCAGGCTCCCCCAAAGGTTCCGCGCGCCCCTCCACCGCCCTTCCGCTGGCTCCGCCCCCCCCCCGCCCCTCCACGAGCCCGCCTCCTCCGAGAGCCCTTCCGCTTTTTCCAGCCCAGCCCCACTCCGCCCAGGCCCCGCCTTCCTCGCGCCCTTCTCTGGCCCCGCCTCCTCCGGGAACCTCTCCACTGGCCCGCCCTGGCCCCATCCTCCTCAGAGGCCCCGCCCTTACCTAGCACACCGCTACCTGGTCTCTCTGCTGGTCTTGCACCGCCTGAGTCGCCAGCCTCTTTAAGTTTGGTTCTGTTTCCCCGAAACCCCCACCCCTCCCCGTACCTGCACGTTTCTCTCAGTAAACCCTGCCTCTTGTGCACCTTCTCTGTCCTTCTGCTGCGGTCTCTCATTCCCGTCCGATCCAAGCTGTGTCCTTAAGTGCTTAGTGAATTGTGCGGAGGCCTTGTGCTAGGCCTTGGAGGTCCCTGCTTTCAAGGCCCCCTGCCGGGTGGGAGAGCCACTTTGTAACGGAGTTTAACAGTCCGGGTGATAAGCCTTTAATGAAGGAATCCTAGTATTTCGATACTTAGAGGACTAGAGTTGTCACCCTCCCTGCTGGAAAGGCAAGCTGGCCTGTGAGGGGCTAAGCTGCACCTCTCTCTCCAAATGCCCCTGGCTTCTTCTGATGCAGGCTCTTGGTTCTAACCATTGTCCTTTAAACTCTTGGGAATTAGTAAAATCTTATCATGGGCCCTTCTTTTAACCAGAGTTGGTAGGGCTTTCAGAGCCCATCCATCCACTGGGGATGTTGAGGGCAAGAGACAGATCAGTGATTGGCTTAGACAGTGACTCAGCATCATGCTCTTGATGCTGCTGTTTGGAGGTTTTCCTGAGGATTCTTACCCAACTTTCAATGACCCAGCAGTCTTAGTTGGTAGAAAAACCTAAAAGCATGTGTAGATAAAACCTCCAATCAGTAAGCAGATTTCTCCTAGCTAACACAGTACAGGATATGGTTTACAGAAGACAGTGACTCACACCTTCAGTCTCTTGGAGTCAAGCATCCTAGGGTTTGATCCCAGCTCCACCGTTTGCTGTGAAGTTTGGCAAAGAAGCTTCCCTTATCTGGGCTTTAGTTTTACCTTCTACAAAAAGAGCACAATTATGGTATGGATTTGTTGAGGTCCTGCTTATGAAAAAAGTCAATGTTAGGGTCCTGTAAATAGCAGGATCTCAGCATAAGTGAGCCCCTAGTCATCCGATTCATGTCTGTCTGGGTCACGTCAGCAAAGAGCCTGATACATTGCCTCTCTCAGGAGCCATGACAACCCTGGATGATAAGCTGCTGGGGGAGAAGCTCCAGTACTATTATAGCAGCAGTGAGGATGAGGACAGCGACCACGAGGACAAGGACAGAGGCAGTGGCGCCCTGGCCGGCAGTTCGATGCCTGCAGATGCAGAGTTGGCAGGGGAAGGCATCTCAGTCAACACAGGTACTGGAAATCCCTGAGCTCAGGGAACAGGTTTAAAAAAATGTCCATTAAATATGTATCAGTCAGAAGTCTCCTGATCATTGCTGTCTAATTCCAGTCCTACTTCCAGAGATAACCTTTTGTCGGCATTTCCCTGGGTGTGCTCTGGCCATCTCAGTGCACAGTGCAGACTTCTGTGCACAGCATGCACAGACCGATCACACACAGTAAACACAGACTTGCTTTTGAATCCGGCTTCTCAAATTAATAGTTGTTTGATGTCACTTAAGTCATAGGTATGCATATATTGGTATAAATGTATACCAATATATACCAATTCTAGTATAAATTCCTAGAAATGGCATATTTATACTTTTACATTTTAATATTTCCAAATTGCTGTCAGTGGAAGTGGCACTGGTTTATCTATAACCAGCAATGTGTTTTTTCCCCAGACACTTGCCCTCCTACTGTGTTACCAGAATTTGTGATCTTCGCCATCCTCAATGGATGACAAATGGTAACTCACTGAAGTTTTATTTCCTACCTTTTCAAGAGGGACACTGAACCTCTTTTATAACTTAAAACAATTTTTTTTAAATGTTAATTCATTTATGAGAGAGGGCGGGGCAGAGAGACACACACACACACACACAGAATCCAAAGCAGGCTCCAGACTCTGAGCTGTCAGCACAGAGCCTGACGCAGGGCTTGAACTTAAGAACTGTGAGATCATGACCTGAGCTGAAGTCGGAGGCTTAACCTACTGAGCCACCCAGGCGCCCCATCTTTTATAACTTTAAGAGGAGTTTCCTGTCCTTTGCTCATTCTTAAAATTTGGTGATTGGTCTTTTGCTTTTTAGGGAGCTTTGTTTTAAGGAAACTAATCTGTGGTATGAGCTGTAAATATTTCTACCAATTTGTGGTTTGTCTTTTGACTTTGTGTTCTTTTCTGGGCAGAAAATTTTTATTTTTATGTACCTGAAGGCATTATTTTATAGTTTCTTAATTTAGTTTCTTACCGAAAAGGTTTTTTTTCTCTCCAGGATTATAAAAAGTTCTCCCATGCCTTTTTAAAATACTTTTATGATTTTTTTTATACTTAAATATTGATTAATCTGGAATTCATTTTGGTGCAAGGTATGTGGCAGGGCTTCACGTTAGTATTTTTCATATTTTACCCACTATTTCAACACCATTTATTGAATTAGCTGTCTTTTCTCCATTGCTTTGAAATGTCAATCTTATCATGTATTGAATTTCTGTTTATATTTTTATCTTTAGCTATACTTTGTAGTTTCTTTCATTGATTTGTTTTTTACTGTGCTACATCACACTGTTTTTAATTACTGTGTTACATGTTTAGTATATGGTGGGGCTGGTTGACCTTCAGTACTCTTCTGTGCCATCATTTTCCCCCAATTTTTTTTTTTTTTTTTAAATTTTTTTTCAACATTTATTTTTTTTTATTTTTGGGACAGAGAGAGACACAGCATGAACGGGGGAGGGGCAGAGAGAGAGGGAGACACAGAATCGGAAACAGGCTCCAGGCTCTGAGCCATCAGCCCAGAGCCCGACGCGGGGCTCGAACCCACGGACCGCGAGATCGTGACCTGGCTGAAGTCGGACGCTTAACCGACTGCGCCACCCAGGCGCCCCCAATTTTTTTTTTTTAAGTAGGCTCTACCTTCAACATGGGATAGAGTTCCTAAGACTGGGTACTGCGTGCTGTACTGACTGAACCAGCCAGGCACCCCTCAACTTTTGCTTTCTTATTTTTCCAAAGCAAATTTAGGAACGTGCACACATGGGAATACATTAAATATATAAATTAATTTAGGGGTTGTTGGCACCCTGTGATGTTGGGTCTTCCTAGTCAGGAATATGGTATTGCTTTTCCATTTAACCAGGTCTTTCTTAGTGTTTCTTGGTAGCATTTTAAAGTTTTTCTCACATAGATTTTTATATTTTTTTCTGCAGTAACAAATAGCCTCCAAATCTCAGTGGCTCGTGAGAGTGAAGGTGTATTTCTCAAATGTGTTACTTGCTGCTGGTGTGGGTCAGCAGCCCTCCTTTTGCTTCATATGTCCTGTCATTCTAGGGAAGGGTTGAAAGAGCAGCCCCTGACCGGGACATGCCTTTTCATGACCAGGTATAGCGAGCAAGAGAGGGCTGTTGGAAACGTAATGGCTCATAAATCTTTTGCTCAGAATCCATTGGCCAAAGCACATCACGTGGCCAAACCCAACATCAGTGGGCTGGGGATGCATGTACTCATCCCATACATGGCAAGGGGCAGGGAGGCTTGGGGGTAACTTGAATAACAGAACAACCTGCCACAATCTTGTTATAAAAATCCAGGTAATACAGAATGTATTAGGGTAGAAAGAAAAAAATAGAAGTTCTGTTTCACAAGTCCTCTTGGAGCCTACTAGCTAGAGACAGCTTCTGTTAACGGTTGACTTACTCTTCTTTAGTCCTTTTTCTATGAACATACAAATGTACGTGCACATATACGAATACCTGTAAATATTTGTACATACACAGGCAATTCCTTTTCTAAAAATTGGATGATCATACCATGACATTGTTCTGCATTTTGCTCTCTATTTTTTTTTTTTTGACCTAATGTATTTGAACATCTTTTATGGCAAGAAAACCTATAGCTACCTCATTCTTTCTACGAGTTGCCTCATTTTCCTTTGAGTAGATAAGTCATAACTTATTTAGTGCACCTCCTAATATCAGGTCTTTAGCTCAGCCCCTTAATTATCGCAAGCCACGCTGCAGTGGACGTCACTACGTGGACCATGCTGCCCCGCGTGAGCGTTGCCGTGCAGTCGGTGGGGCAAGCGTTAGACAGATGTGAGCTGGTCCGTAATTCTCTGCCTGCTCTTCTTGGTCACCTCCATGTTCACCATCGACCCAGGTCCAAAAGGGGTGATAAATGACTGGCGCCGCTTCAAACAGTTGGAGACTGAGCAAAGGGAGGAGCAGTGCCGGGAAATGGAACGGCTGATCAAGAAGCTGTCAATGACCTGCAGGTCCCATCTGGACGAAGAGGAGGAGCAACGCCAACAGAAGGAGCTCCAGGAGAAGATCAGTGGGAAGGTAATTAGCAGACCCCCGGGCCTCTCTGAGAAACGCTCCTGGCTGTTGCAACTGGGGTCAGTGATCCAAGAGGTGCAGGTGTTTGATTTGGCCTCCACAGAGCTGTGTAGTGTCAGGGGAAGTAGAGTCACGTCCTAACTTGGACACACTGGGGTTTGAACCTCAGCTCTGCTACTGGAGACAGTGGGGGTGTGTCTTCTGTTCTGAATCTGGTTTGTCAGGGGTCCGGTGAGGTCAGTCCCTCTACCTCACAGTGCTCTCTGGGTACAAAGGCCCCCGCAGTGCCTGGCCCATTCAAAGTGCTTCATGGAAGTCTTACCTTGGGCCAGAAATAACCCTCTGAAGTTGGTGGTTTTATCCCTGTTTTACAGATGATGAAACCGATGCTTTGAGAGGAGAGGGGACTTGGCTCAGGGCATCTAACTAGTAAATGCTCATGAGCACTGGGATTCTCACCCAGGTTTTTTTTGCTCTTTCCATGGTGCTGCTCTGTTTCACCTGAAGCCTATTCATGAGAATTTACTCTTAACAAGGCAACACAGTAGAAGCAAATGGACACTCTGGAAGATACTTGGAAATAGGCCCCTGACCCTCTGTTACTTGCCCTGTATCAAAAGGACCTTTTATTTCCCCTTCCACCTGCCCTCTGAACATGGGTGAATGTCAAGGAGTGCCTGAGATCATTTGGCTGTAGCCCAAAGCAGCTCTTGGCTGGGAATGCCAGCCAGGATCAGGGAGCAGATAAGAGGATTAAATGAGGAGTCATTTGCCTGGAGCAGGAGGAGGATTTCAGGGCATTAGACTTTCTGACCATAATGGCTCAGAGGCACTCTGGTGGGCCGAGGTGGATGGGAAAGCTGGGAGCAGGGGGCTGGGAAGGACGGTGCTGTGCTGGCCGTGACGCAGAAATGTCTGTCCTGCTCTACTGTGGTCCCCGGCCTCCACCATCTGATTGGTGCCGGACTGGGCAGAGGTAGGCTTTGTTCCGGGTGTGGGGATGTCTGGCCGCACCAGGCCCAGAGAAGGAAGACAACTTTTGTGTCTCGAGCTGGTGGCAGGGCTGTGTGCCCGCTGCTCACAGTGCTTCCTTATGCTGAGATTAGAGCAGATAAAGCAACACATGACCGCATGGGGCGGTTGAGAGCAGCTCTGTCCCTGTCCTCCTGGGTTGTGTACCGCAGAGCAGAGCTGGAAACCAGCTCAGTGCCAGAAAAGGGGAAGTCAAGCAAAATATGGCACAGTACGCATCATTCTATAAAGAATAATTGAGAAGCAGGGGGAAATATTTGTGATGTAATAATGCCAAGTGGCAAGAGCAGGTTATAGCTTAATTGGTACATCCACAACTGCTGTTAAAAAAGCAAAAATGAGGGGCGCCTGGGTGGCGCAGTCGGTTAAGCGTCCGACTTCAGCCAGGTCACGATCTCACGGTCCATGAGTTCGAGCCCCGCGTCGGGCTCTGGGCTGATGGTTCGGAGCCTGGAGCCTGTTTCCGATTCTGTGTCTCCCTCTCTCTTTGCCCCTCCCCCGTTCATGCTCTGTCTCTCTCTGTCCCAAAAATAAATAAAAACGTTGAAAAAAAAATTTTTTTTAAAAAAAAGCAAAAATGATGTCAGCATGTGCCCGGTAATAAAAAGCAAAATACGGTATTAGAGAGTGTGACTGTGTGTTTTTTGTATGTATATGTGTGTGTGGGGAGGGTGCAGAGCAAGAATTACGAGTGTTCTTAAATTTTTAAAATTCCTTAGTATCGTGTTGTCTTTTCAACAAAAACGAAACAGTAGATAAAATAATCTATTGTCGAGACTGACCAAAAGAAACAAGTTCATGAAGTGATATTAATTGATGTCTGTTTGGAGGGAGAGACATTATAATACAGCAGCTGAAAGACTATATATATATATGTATTAATTTATTTATTTGTTTTTGAGAGAGAGAGAGAGAGAGAGAGAGAATGAGAATGAATCCTAAGCAGGCTCCATGCTGTCAGCACAGAGCCCCATGTGGAGCTCCAACCCATGAACTGTGAGATCGTGACCTGAGCCAAAACCAAAAGTCAGACACTTAACCAACTGAGCCACCCAGGAGCCCCAAAAGACTAGATTTTTTAAAAATCCAGTTTGAATTCTGGGCTTGTACCTACGTGAACTGGTGCAGATAATCTCAAGTCTTTGAATCTCAATTGTAAGATGGGGGCAATTGAAATCCCCTCCCAGTGGGGTTATCGTAAGAATTCTGTGAGCTTTAATGCATACAGAGCACTTAGCATGGTACTGAGCTCACGTAACATAAGCATGTGGTACAGGTTAACTGTTTTTTTTTGAAGTTTATTTATTTATTTTGAGAGGGAGAAAGAGAGCACGTGTGCAAGTCAAGGAAGGAGGGAGAGAGAGAGGGAGGGAGAGAGAATCCCAAGCAGGCTCTGCACTGTCCCCACAGAGGCCGATGGGGGGCTCGAACTCACAAACCATGAGACCGCGACCTGAGTCGAGGTCAGTTGCTCAACCACCTGAACCACCCACGTGTCCCGGTACATGTTAACTATTATCACAGAGTTCAGTTTGTGTTTCTTCTGCTCACCTGCTGGTCGTCCTGCAGATGACTCTGAAGGAGTTTGCCATGATGAATGAGGACCGAGATGACGAGGAGTTTCTACAGCAGTACCGGAAGCAGAGGATGGAAGAGATGCGGCAGCAGCTTCACAAGGGGCCCCAGTTCAAGCAGGTGTTTGAGATCCCCAGTGGAGAAGGGTTTTTAGAGATGATCGATAAAGAACAGAAAAGCACCCTCATCATGGTCCATATTTATGAGGACGGCATTCCGGGGACCGAAGCCATGAACGGCTGCATGATTTGCCTTGCTGCTGAGTACCCAGCTGTCAAATTCTGCCGGGTGAAGAGCTCAGTTATTGGGGCCAGCAGTCGCTTCACCAGGAATGCCCTTCCAGCCCTGCTGATCTACAAGGGGGGTGAGTTGATTGGCAATTTTGTTCGTGTCACTGACCAGCTGGGGGAAGATTTCTTTGCTGTGGACCTCGAAGCTTTTCTACAGGAATTTGGATTGCTCCCAGAAAAAGAAGTCTTGGTGCTCACGTCTGTGTGTAACTCTGCCACCTGTCACAGCGAGGACAGTGATTTGGAAATAGATTGAACTGATAGTCTAGCTGCATAGATTTCTCCTTGTTTGGGCTGGAAGACACATGTCTGTGGATTTGTTTTTGTTCCTTCCTGTGTTGTGTGGCTTTCCAGCTGTTCTTTGTAGTCCCTTTTATTATATGTAAAGTCAAGAAATTCTTAGATTAAACTGGAATGCTAAATCACCTTGTGGCTAGCAGTACAAAGTGACTTCAAACTGTATAAACAGGAAACCAGGCTTTTGAACTGTTTACTTAAGATTCTCTAGCATGACATCTCTGTTATTGTTTCTAGTCAATATTTACATAACATCCTAAAGACAGTGTCCTGGAAATTGTCTTCAGATGATCTCAGAGGTCTCTGCCAGGCCTGGGAATATAGTTCTATAGTTAGTGTGTTATTTGCAACATAAATAGTGTGTCCCCTTCATCAGTGATTATAAATTGTATTTACTTGTAATCAGATGTTCTCTACCGGGGTCTTGTTTAAAGGTTCCAGACAATGATGTTTGCCCCATCAAGAGGGGTGACCTTTGCTGTGGGAGCCAGTGTCCTGCTGAAACGTTACTAAGTCTTAAATAGGAGGAAGGATTGAGGCTGACTGTGCTCCTGATGCTGGAAGGCCAGCTTGATTTAAAAACATCAGAGCGGGGCGCCTGGGTGGCGCAGTCGGTTAAGCGTCCGACTTCAGCCAGGTCACGATCTCGCGGTCCGTGAGTTTGAGCCCCGCGTCAGGCTCTGGGCTGATGGCTCAGAGCCTGGAGCCTGTTTCCAATTCTGTGTCTCCCTCTCTCTCTGCCCCTCCCCCGTTCATGCTCTGTCTCTCTCTGTCCCAAAAATAAAAATAAAACGTTGAAAAAAAAAAAAAAAAAATTTAAAAAAAAAAAAAAAAAAAAAAAAAAAAAAAAAAAAAAAAAAAAAATAAAAACATCAGAGCTGGGTTGGAGCTGGGAAGCCTTTTGAAATTGGAGGATCTTTGGATAAGATCCTCTTGCTAATTTCTTTGTCTCTCTCTCTCTCTCTCTCTCTCTCTCTCTCTCATTTAACAATGTGACTTGTTTAATGTAGCTTTTAAAAAAAATTTTTTGTTTTTGCATATTTGAAAAGTAATATTCAACAGAGGAAAATTTGCCGCAATACAAAGTGAAAATAAGAAAGTTAGAATAATGTCCCATCCAACCATCTAGGGTAAAACACTATTAATATTTTGGCATATTTCCTTCCAACGTATTTTCTTTGTATACATAGACATTTTGCTTGTTTGTTTTTAAACAAAACAATGGGATCATTCTGAACATACTGTTTTATAGTATGGTCAGCTAATATGTATCAAAATTTTTTTCATGTTATTACTAGTCTACCACATTTTAAAAATGGCTCTTGATATTCCATTGTGTAGATGTGCTGTGATTTGCTTCATGGTTGTCTTTTGAAAAACAGCAAAGACTTTTTACTACAGAAGTAGTAGGTGTCCATTGTAGAAAATGTGCTAAAAATTGTTAAGCTAAAAAGAGCTTTTACGAGTCCTGTAATTCTGCCAACCAAAAATGATTCCCGTTATCATTTTCACAGGAATCTTTCTAGGCTTTTTTTTTTTTTTTTCTATTTGTATTTGTATTTATAATAATGATTGTCATTTGAATGTTTTCCTCCTTTTTTTTTTTTTTTTTTTTTTTTTTTTTTTTTTTTTTTTTTTTTTTTTTTTTTTTGCTTAAAACGGTGTACATTCTAAGGTCAGGGAAAATGTAATCTGGAATGAAAAGATTAGCTTTAGAATTCAGTTTTGCTTTTCCTGGTTATTCAGGAATTGACTAACTAGAAGGGTCTCACAAATATCTGTTGTAGTTAATCAGTAAGAAGAAAGTGCATGGTTTTTCTGATTTAAAAAACTCATTGTAGACAGCGTAGAAGAAGCAGAGATAACTGTTGTCAATGTTCTTGTTTATTTCCTTCAGTCCTTTTTCACTATTTTTAGTAACATTGAGAGCTTATTGGATTTAGTTCCGTGTTCTATTTTATTAATATGATGCCGTAAATAATTTGACATGTTATAAAAATTCTAAATACTTTTTAATGCCTTCATAATATTCCATCATTTGTATATGCCATGATTTATTTAGCCAGTTCCTTAATATTGGGTATTTAGATTCCCAGTTTTTCAGTAAAATACTCAGCATTTTTGCATTTTGAGCCATATTTTGGATAGTTCTCTTAGTATAGATTTCTGGAAGAGGAATTCTTGGATGAAGGGACAGGAGCATTTGTAAAATAGTTTTTAGAAACTATGTCTCGTTCCAATCAGAAATGAAAATATGCACTCACAGAACCTTAACTTTGCCTTTCAAGAACAGAGATTCCAAAATAAAATGAACAGACATGGAATGGGAAAATCCTTGAGTATTAATCTCTTACTCAGATGTAGTGTAAGCATCATGGGCTTGGGAGTCCAGAAAGATTTGAGTTCAAATCCTGTCAGCTCCTGGTGAGGTACCCAGCCTTCTTGAAGCTCTGTTTCCTCACCTCTGCAGTGTCAATACTTACCTCACCTGTTCTGTGAAGTGGTTCCCGGCATGTGGTCCCAGAGCTGGGCATCAGCTTCACTGGGAAACCTGTGTGAGATGCAGACTTTGCCTGCCCTCCAGGTGATTCTGAGGCTTGTTCAAGCGTGGGAATCACTGATGTATGGATCAAGGTGAGTGACAGCAGCTATCACCAAACGGCTTACTTATTTGGGTAAGGGAGAGAAGGAGTTGAAAGCGGACGCTCAGCTCTCTTCCTCTTTATGTGATTCTCCTTTTTAGTCATGGAATTGAGGAAAGGAAAGAAACTGCTACTTGTCTATCCTAAGCTATGTCCCCGTGGTATTCCAGATTTCATTTTTCCTCCAGAACAAGAGTCCCGTGAAGGCACAGACTTTGTTTTCCTCCCTGTGCGTGGCATCATTACTGTTCACTCCAGGGATGATAGGCTGACGTTTACTAGCTTTGTGGCCAAGATGCTGAACCCCTCTGCACCTCAGTTTCTTCATTTGTGAAATGAGAATAAGTAACATGAATCAATCCATATAAAATATTTAGAACACAGCCTTCAAATATGTGTTTCTATCATCCCCAGTGCCCACTACTGTGTCTAACACTTGGTAATGATCAATAAACGTTCAATAATGAACGTATGGGCCCACTGAATACCGGCAGCCTTTCAAGGTAGGAAATAAATAGTAACTTTCAGACATGAAGAAACCAAGACTTAGCAGGGTTAAGGGACTACACAGGGCTTGTGGGCAGGGCAGGATTTAAAATCAGGTCTATGTACTTCCGAAATTTTCACCGTTTCCACGATGTCATGTTACTCTGGGTGGAGAAAGCAAATGATCGAGGGACAATAAAATCGGTCAATTTAAAAAAGAAAAAATGGAGGAAGTAAGTTTAAAAAAATTTAAAAACAAAATAGTTGGAGGAAGTAAAGGGAGAGAATTTATTTATTTATTTATTTATTTATTTATTTATTTATATTTTTTAATGTTTAATATTTGAGAGCGATAGAGAGATGGAGTGAGAGCAGGGGAGGGGCAGAGAGAGAGGGAGACACAGAATCTGAAACAGGCTCCAGGCTCTGAGCTGTCAGCACAGAACCAGACACGGGGCTCAAACCCAACGAATGGTGAGATCATGACCTGAGCTGAGGTTGGATGCTTAACTGACTGAGCCACCCAGGCACCCCTTCAGTGCCTCTTTAAAGAGTGCAGGCCAGTCGTCTTACAGAATGTCCCACACTCTGATTTCTCTAATTATTTCCTCTTTTTGGGTAATAATGTGACCAGAAGTGATGTTACATGGTCTTACTGAATCAAGTCAGGGAATCCGTGATGTCAGCTCAGTGACCCTAGGTTTAGTCACTTGGTCAAGGTGGTGAATGCCAGATCTCCATATTGTAAGGTTATTTGCCTTCTTGTGAGTAGTAAGGGTATGATACTTTGAGACTGTGCGAGTGTCTTTTTCCCAACAACCATCTACCTGAGGGCTTTAGCATCTGTTGATGATCCTTGCCTGAGCCAAGTTATTACACTGGGTTTTGTCAAAAGGTGATTTTCTAATTCTGTCTTTTCTTTTGCACTTATTACCTGATCTTGCACAAAACAGAACTCTACCTCCCTGTCCGCCCCCCCCCCCCCCCCCCCCCCCCCCCCCCCCCCAGGAATGCTATGAACTTACAGATTTTTAAAAATTCAGTGTGTATTATCATAATTCTTTCCGGGGCTTTGGTTGCCTTTGCAAGCCAATTCCTGTCTCCTTTTGAGATAAGCCATTAGTTTTCGAGTACTTACCTTCTTTCTGGTCTAAGCTGTTCCAGAATCACATGGAACTTCTCTGCTAAGGACTTAGAATTAGCCACTTTCCAAGAAGCTCTGGTTCCTTTTATGGAGAGTGACATTTAGAACTAAAATCTAGGTGCTATGTGCTCATTGCTAGTGGGATGTCACTGCTTCTAGGTCCTTTTCAGTGGACAGAGGAAAAATAGGGGTTTCTAAAATGTATGAGTTCATATGGATACTTAAGTGGAAATACAATTCCCAGCATCCATGTATTTATTAATTTTTATCATCACATAATACACACTAAATAGCTTCATAATTATGCCTATGCCACTAACAAAAGCAACCCTAAATGAAAATTTCAAGATTTCTTTGCCATCCCTTTTCTTCTTCTTCCTCTTCCTCCTCCTCTTCTTCCTCTCCTTCTTCTGTTTCTTCCTCTCCTCCTCCTCCTCCTCTGCCTCCTCCTCCTCCCCCTCCTCCTTCCTCTCCTTCCTGTCCTCCTCCTCTTTCTTCTCCTCCTCCTCCTTCTCCTCTTCCTCCTCCTCCTTTCTTTTTTCTTCATTCTTAGAGCACGTCCTTCTAAGGATGTAGAGTATTGAGTTAAAAAAGTCATCTGAATTATTTTTTTTCTGTGTGGTTATGTTGTCAACTTGGTGTAGAAATAGATTTATTTGTGTGAATAACTTGATTTGAAATTCAAAGACACCACAAGTTGCATATTACATAGTACTAAAAATAAATTAATTGTTAAATAGCTTTATGGGGATCTCAAAATAGATGGAAAACGGAAAAAAAAGTAGATTCATTTGTTTCTGCACGATTCCATTTTTGGATTTGCTTTTTTCATCCTTTTTGATTGACCTGTTTTGAGCACATAAAACATTAACCTAGTTTGAAAGTCAACACTATATAAAAAGATCCTCAAAGAAGTCTCGCTCCCATCTTCCTTCCTTCCACCTCAAGAATTGATGTTTGCTCGTGTGAATGACCTTGGGTGGATTTCTGAGTCCCTCTGAGCTTTGGTCCCCAAAGGAGGATAGTTATAGTAACTATCTCAGAAGGCTGCTGCCAGGGTTCATCCAACGGGTTGAAGTTCTTCATATAGTGTGCACAGAGTAAACATCCCATAAATGTCATCTGTTTATCTACTGTCCATCCTCCACAAGGCCCCGATTCCACTTATCAAAGAAAAGCCTTACTGAAGACATTGGAGTCCCCTTGGAACCATGGGAAATCATTATTTATCCTTCAAAACTCAGCTTAAATCTCCCATCCTCTCTGGATCCTTGATAAGTCTTTACTGTCTCTTCAGGAAGAAACAGTAACACCACTGCATGAGCTCCCATGAGTTATGGCAACATTGGTTAGGAAAAGTTTTGAGGGCTCAGAGCCTGACTCC